TAAATCAGTCCAGGGAAGCAACCTTTGGGTTGTAGGGAGGCGAAGGATGCTGTGGGACAGGACTTCTTCATTGCAGGTGGCACAAAGATTCTGATCCCTGAATGCCATTAACTGTTGGCACTGGCACCTTTGTGCCAGAGGTTGTGGCACAGTTCCCAGACAGCATTTACTGTGGCTGAGCTGGAATTAGTGACTTTTTTGGGAGTAAGTAGTTTTTGGCTTTTACAATTGTGCCACTGTAACAATTGTAACATAATTAGGCATTATTCCAGAGACTGGTAAAATTTTATCAGAAATCACAGCACATTTTTGAACTACTACTACTACTACTACTACTACTACTACTACTACTACTACTACTGCAGAAAGATTTCTTTAACATGCTGTTTGTGAACACCCTTTCTTCTGTCTTCTGCCACACTTGTGGGATCAGTGTAATAATCAGCGTCATGAATCAGTCATGGTAAGACACTTTAGATCTGAATTTCAGAACAAAAGCTGGGGTGTTCCTGTCACGTTTATTTAGCTTTTGAATGAGACCGGACTTGATTCTGACCCTGACTGCAGCAGCGCAGAGTGCACAGGTGTTCCTCAGGCTTTCTCAGGTGCATTGCAGGTGGCAGAGCTGGCAGGACACCCAACCCTTCAGGTGCTCACAGCAGGCAGACTGACTCGCCATCACTCCTTCTCTATTCCCACCAGAACACGAGCCTGTGGGACCTACACAGAGTATTAATTCGCTGTGCCCGATTTCTCCCTGCAGGACGCCTACAACATGGCAGAGCTGCAGGTGTCCATCCAGGGCAGCCCGGCCTATTCCCTGCACAGGAGGAAGGAGCTCCCGGCCCCGCGGCAGGCCGCCGTGAGGGCGCGGCCCGGGCCGGCGGGGGGCGCGGCGCTGGGCCGGGCGCTGCCCGCGCTGCTGAGGGAGGCCGAGCGCCGCGGCCCGGGCCCGCCGCAGGACTCGCTGCGCGTCTTCTGCACCGAGGGCGCCGGCTCCAGCCTACTCAGCCTCAGCTCCCTCAGCTCCCTCAGCTCCGCGGGGCTGGGCGGCGGCAGCAGCGCCTGCGAGGACATCCACGAGTGGGGACCCAAGTTCGAGAAACTGAGGGAGCTGTACTCGCACAGAGAGGCAGGAGACCTGTAGCTCCCCAAGGCTGCTCTGTGCAGTTCTGGAGGCAAAGGTGAGGCACGGTTTTTTAAACTCCTGCTCTGTATTACCCCAACCCGGCCTTTTTTCCTTGTTACAACAGGGACTCAGATTCCCACTAAGGAGGCACATTGGGCAGCAAAGGTGGGTAGGAGCTCACCTTGGGACATGCTGGACAATCTGCATTTTGGTATATAAACCTACTGGGAGGAATAGAGAGAATCTGGGGTATGCAGCCATTCACATAGTGTGGTTAAGAAGTCCAGGTCTCTTTTATCACTGAAGTAATGCCGGACTCTTGAGGGATCCAGTGCACACGGCCTGAGGTGTGCTGGAGCTGAGGGAAGCATGCTGGATGTGCTCTTTCTGGTGCTTTGAGTTATTTGAAGAAAAACAAAACACCTTGTGTTTTTCTTATGTAATGAAGTCCATGGTGTATTACATCCCTCTCATTTCTCACAGTGCCCAGGGACAGCCCTGCTCACTGATCACAGTGCAGGTGCCAGTCCAGGGGCACAGGAAAAGGAAAGAAGCAGAAGGATGAACTGGAACTTCACTTATACTGTGCTGAAATCCCTTTATGTTGCCATACAAGGACAGAAACTGGATTTAGGCATAACACATGAACCCAGCTGCTTACATAATTTTCCTAAGGAAAAGGCCAGGTGTGCTGGCTACATGTCTCAAAGGGGGCTGGTCAGGAATTTCAGTGGCAAACACCACAGTACATCACAATCTCTCATTCCTAATGAGTTGCTAAACTGAGCCTAAACCAGCCTGAACTGTGCCATTTGCATCTACAACTATGTCCCTCATGTTTTGTTAAATCTCCTTTGATAGAATCATTTGCAGGACATATCTGGGGACAGAGGAACAGGGAAAACTAACAGCAGTAGCAGGGGGTGGAATATAATGCTCTAAATTAATTAGTCCCTTTTTGAAACCATTTAATGTCCAGCTACTATGCTGGATTTTTCTTAAACTTGACAATATTTGGAAGAGAAAAGGTGCCACTAAATTAATTTTGATTTTTTTTTAATTGAGACCACTTGTACAGATAAATGGAGTACAATGCAGCAAACCCTAAATCTTAAGCTGTGCTGTTTCTTCTATGTATCATATGTAAATGACATCTACTATAATATGTAAACTATATGTAATATGTACATTATATATTATGAGCTAATAATATGACTATATCCTAGTTTCTAATAATGTTTCATTAAAACAAAGCATGAAACAATGTATTGTAACAGACACTGAGACTGCTTTGCTCAGTAGCTTGTTTTGGGAGGTCTGGCTTTTATTTTTATACATCTGTTAAAACCCGTAGGTAGGTGAATGCTGTCTGCAGGCCAGCTCAGTTTGCGTGTTTCCCAAATGAGAAATGTTCACACAGTACCTTGTTCTCATGTGCACTTGTGCCACTCTGGAAAATCCCGAGTGCACCATTAAGCACTGTTACACACAGCAGGTGCTGGGCACTGTCCTCTGGAAAACCTAAATCCAGTTGTTACTCACACCCAATGGTTTTGGTTCACACACAGTACAGACTGATTTTGTACTTTTACTGACACATTTATTTGCCTGGGAGGAAACCTTGGCTGAAACATCTCGCAGTGTTCACCAGTCCAGTCTGCCAGCTCCTGTATTCCACCATCCCAGCTGTCACAAACAGGGTATGGAAAATGAACTAAATATATATTATGCACAAAAATCTATTCCTTCCTGAAACAGCAAAAATTTTGTCTACATACCTTGTGTTCTTCCCATAGCTATGGCCATGCTGGTGCTTTGGCTGGTTTTAATTAAATTTAGCCTGTAAGCTCCTTGGGGCCAACACTGTCTTTATTTGCCTGTGAAGTGTCCTGCCTATCTCAGGCACCATATAAATAATAAACCAGCCTTCTGTCCTGGGTGTCTCTGCCTTGTTTGTGTTTAAGGTTGACTGAAGGGTGGACTCTGTTGAATTATTTCTCTCTCAGTTTTGATCAGATGCTTCCATAGATGTGAGTCATGGGTGCTGTGCTGCCTGAAAAGCTTCTGCTGGTGGGCTCAGGATCCAGTTACCCACCCAAAAACCACTGTGGGTTTCCCCAGGGGAATGAGACCTCATCAAATCTCTTCCTCCATCCCTGAGGAACTGGTCCCTGGGTGAGAGTGACAGCAAGTGGTGCCCAGGAACCCTAAAGGTGACAAACATGGGTCACGCAGAGCAGCCACAGAGCTGATGTGCAGATGTCTCAGTGCTGTTCCAAACGTTGCTGCCCTGCTGCTGCTTCCTTGCCCATTTCAGCTGTGGCCCTAGTCTGTAACCAGACATGGAAACAGCAGCCCCAGAGCCTCGGAGCTGCCTCTGCACTGACAGTGAGCCCCACCTTGTACAGGACGCACAGACTAAAACAAAAGGGCAGGAAACATTTCCAAACTCCTCTAGGAGCTTGTGTCGATACCATCTCAGTAATAGGACACACTCATTTACAGCTGTCACGCCCTATTAAAGCCTACTCTTCCTCTTTCCAGAGATAACTAATTAGTTCACTTAATTTATCTGTTTTAATTTGCATGCTGCTCTTTTAATTACTGTGCAGTTGCTGAAATCATATCCTGACTTGTTCTGCATTTGCACAGGCACACACAAATATTTCAGTGCCTCTGCAGAAAGGCTTATCCCAGCACTGCCATGGCTCCCAGGGAGAACAGCTGGCTTTCCACAGAAAGCTTTGGGTCGGGGGGAAGGAAAAATATTGAATAAAAAACCCCATTGGGTCCCTAGGTAGTGGGATTTGCAGTAATCTAGTACTTTTATTAATCTTCTTCCATGTTTTTTACAGACTTTAAACATATAGTAAGAACATTTTATTTAGCATAAAATGTTTGTAAAGGTCTGAAATTTAAATAATCATGTGGATATTAGTATTTAATCTGGCTGCCTGTCAACTACATTAATCTTTGTGGTCTTCCCCTGTTAAAATAAAACTCCAGGTACATAACATGGAGCCAAGCCTTAGGAAAGCTGATTGTCCTTAGGCCTGACCTACTGACCAGCAGGTTTAGGAGGGAAAACAGGGCTGTAAAAAAGCAGGATTAGGTGGGCAGAAGAAAGCTGAGCATTTTCTTAATTATGAGAATTATGGCCATCTCCTGGGGATTAAAAGGAGGAGGTTCCCTGGAGCCCAGACTCCCCTCTATGCAAAAACACCATGTATGGCTCATTTACATTAATTACATTAATTAGAGATTAATTACATTAATCTCTAATTAATGCTAGTGACAAACTCCCCCCAGCCCCCTTTAGTCCAGTCCTACACATGGGCAGTTTTCTCTCCAGCTCTGCACATCCTGCAGCTCTTGCCACAAGAGTCACATCAGGACATCCTACTGCACATAGAGCCCTTGAAATGTGCTTCTTCACTCCCAAAGAATGCACCTTTCTGTTCAATAAAAACACTAAACTTGAACTACAGTGTGGAAACAAGCAGATCCCTGCTGGGCAAAGCATTTACTATAGGATTATATATCTATATATAATACACTTAATAAAGAAATAATATTTATTTAAGTGGATATACTGCCTCAGCCGACTGACCATACTGGAGCTGACATGCATGGGGTGACAACTGATAAAAATCATGGCTGGTACCTTTAGCTTCTAACAAAGGAAGCCCAGGGAGCTGTTAAAACACAAAGGTGATTCCAAAAGTTAGTGCTATACACAATAGAATGATCTTGAGAAGCCAAAACTTGCTTGTGAAGAGTATTTTGCTTTTTTCCATATGGACTGAAACAAAGCTCATTCCCAAACCAGGTCCTTGGCAGCCCATCCCAACATAAAAACAAGCAAAGAAAGTGACTTTCAAATTACACAATTTATTTAGTATACAATAGTCATTACATCTCTTTACAACAACATATTATAAAATAACTATGTTAGATCCCACCAGCAGAACACTGAAACAAGAAATTAAAATACACTTACGGATCTCAAAGGCTTTTCTCTCCTAAAAAAGTCCTTGTTCCTCGATAGCATTTTGTCCCTGCAATCTCAAAAGAAGTAATTTATACCACAATCCCACTGATCACATGCAGCACGAAGTCCTTGTGGCCACCAAGGAGCACACGGGAGGAGCCAGTCCCTGCCGTTGCCACTGCTGGGGGTACCTCAGGAAGGGAGGTGCAGCCCCTCTCCCCCAGCCCCTCCCAGGCCTGTCTCAAACAGGGGCAGGGAGGAGCTGCTCCCTCGGAGCAGGGAACTGCTTTTGGCCCTCGGCACCTGGATGTACTGTTTGAAGCAGTTGGTGTCTGAATGCTGCACTACAGTCCCTGGAATAACCCCTTAGTGTTAAACCTTTCTGATAATCTCTCATAATGCATCTTTCTGTGTAAAAAACCCCAAATAAACCAGATTGCACTTGGTAGTTTCTATGAAAATGTTAAATTTCTCCTTTGGCAAGATTAGAAACTGCATTTTTGAAATAAGTTTGTTTAAAAATAATTACTGTTTCAGGCAGGATTTCTTAGTCTCAGCTGTTACCTACAAGTAAATTCTGAAAAAAACAGGTTATCACTGGGCCTGGGAATGCCTCCCCTCCACCAAAAGAAAGTCACTGCACCTTTCCAGAAAGATGCAGTTGCATTCTAGAACATGCCATACAGCCCAGACATCTTTTACCTTTTGTGTGCTTGTTTTCAGTTACTGAAAGCACCCACTGAGGGATTCACTGACCCAGGCTTGCAGCAAGAATCATGCATCATTACAGGCCTAATTAAAGTTTTAATACTGATTAAAATGTTTTATTATTGTATTATGTTAAACTGCAGTGGTCTCCAACCTCATTAAAGGATACAGGCTAGGAATTACTCAGGAGTTTCAGCTACTCAGTGTAACAACCCAGCTCCTGTCAGTGTGTGATTTAACACAGCCTGGCTACAGCACAGCCTTCTGTGCCACAAAGGCAGAAGGATGTTAACATTGTTTAATGAGTATTTACTGAATATAAAATTGTTTGAGCATGTGACATAACCATCTCCATCTCTTTGGTAATTTACCTTGGTACAACTGAAAGGGAAAACACTTAAATCATTTGGAATTGGAGCCCAGCTCAGTTGTGACAGCTAATCTCATTACACATCTTGATTAAATGAAATGTAGAGTTTGCTATCTGTTGCACTTTAAGTTTCCCATCATTAGAAATTAATTGCAGTGGTAATTACTATAACTGAGTTATTTGCACAGGCCACAAACAGTCTTATAGGTGTTCAAATGTTAATTCAACCTGGGCCTAGAGGCACTTGATTATTACAATTCTGTTTTTTGTAACAAACAATGAGCCTAGTGGACATCTAATTCAAGATGGAGAGTACTGTGAGGCTTCCAAATTTATTTTTCATTTCAATCTAAAACCAAAGCAGTGCTAAAAACACGGCAAAGGTCATGTGGTACCTTCGTAACATTTAGAAATCTGATACAAATCACAAAGTTCAGGCTGGTAAAAAAACAAAGGATATAAACAAATCACAAAATTCTCACCATTGAGCTCTGGCTTAACTTAATCTTCCACATCATTTTAAAATACTGTTAGTCTCTGTTTTAGGCTAAAGAACAAGGACACAGTGATTTTGTGCTAAAATATAGAGCTTTGTTTCTGGAATAATACAAAACAAAGCTCTGCTATCTGAATGTATTTGAAATACTGGTTTCCTGCTGCTTTAGAGATGAGTTTTTCTTTTGTCCAATTTTGCTATCCTAGTGGGATTCACACGAGGAGAGAAAGGATCCCCTGTAGTTCAGAAAATATATACAGGAAAGTGTTCTGAAAATCCAAACTGAGAAATTTGGATTTTTGTTTGTTCTGAGCATTTTACAAGGATACAAACATGCAACACGTATCAAGCATGCTCCAGCCTTTTTTCTCACTAAAAATACGTAACACTCCATCATTAAACACTTAATGTTATAAACCAGTTTGTTTCTGATCACTAAAAATGCTGGACCAAAGATTATTTTTCTTCAAAATTGTTTTCTTAATCCGCACTCACTGATTCTGCAATCATACTCAGAAAATTGGAAACTCATATTCACATACATTCCCAAAAAATTCAAAAAAGAGGCACTGAAAGAGCACAAGATCTGTCAAAAAGGATCAGATTGTAAGACAAAACTTCATTTTGTGACTATTTTTAGGATTCACAAAGGCAATGCTTACTCAGGGCAGGAGCAGCATGGGTTGCTTTCACTGAATTTCTATAATTGGAGAGGAAAATCTGAAGTGTTGAGCAATTCACAGGCTGCTGCCCTTGTCTTCCAATCAATTGAAACTGGAAAACAATTACAACCTAAGTATTCTGAGGGTCAGAATTTAAATCTAAATGGCCCCTGCTAGCATTTATTTAGGAATTTATGAAAATTTTGGCAACATCAATAATGTTATCAAAATTAAACTGTCTAAAAAAAGAATCACAGTAATTAAACAAAAAACCATTGGTGTAAATTGTCCTAAAAATGTAACCTGTTTGTAAACTTTAACTGCATTTCCTAATGTGGTCCTAGCAGTGAAATACTGAACTTGAAGTCATGGTTGGAAATGTTATTTATGCTTGGCAAGTTTGTAAACGTGGAATGTTTTGTTCTGAAACACCCTGGTGAAGTGCATGGTGTAAGAAGGAAGGTTTTTCTTAATTTCCTCACAGAAGCGAGGATACAATGAAGGTTTCAAATCAGGTTCATTCTCTCCCAAGCCATCCATGATCTGCAATGAAATGGAACAGATGGGTGAAATTTCTTCAGCCAATTCACAGTTCCAGGCAATAACAAGTTCATAAAAACCTCCACAATACACTCACGGGGTCAGGCTGGCCAGGTTTGTTCACAGTATGAAACAAGTGGGAGGAACCTTTAAAGCAGTAAGACTTAGAGTATTGTCTCTAAATGGATCAAACTGCTTTGTCAGAGGTCCATATCTGCTTGGCCTTGTGCAGCCTGCTCTGGCTCCAGCTCAGCCCCAGAAATGCCTGAGAACTCCCCTGACACAGAGTGGTAACAGAACCACGCCTCAGGGAACTGAAGCTCTCAAGTGATTTACACCTGGGAGGGAACTCTGCTTGTGTGCTCCTAACCTGGAGCTCTTCAGAAGTGATTACTTATCCTGCCCAGGCTGAAATTCCACCTTTTTTATTCTCAAATACCCTTAAGAGCTAGCAATGTTAATCTGGCCGTTTTGAGAATGTCTAAGATCCAGTAGGTTTTCCTTCCCACAGTGCAAATACGCTGAGCCAGCTCAGCTCTCAGTAAGTGGGTTTCAGAGCAAGGCAAGCGAATGTGTTCTGTTCCTCCATCTCCTGTCACACTCACGTGGCCGTTGGCTACATCGAGCAGGTCGCGCAGGCGGCAGCCCCTGCTGTGCCTCCTCTCGTAGCAGATGCTGTCCTCCAGGATCACGTAGTCCGTGCCAAAGGAGCGCAGGATGCCGTGCACGTCACCGGGAGAGCGCTTGGCATAGATCTGGTAGATCTGCACAGCAAGGGAACTCAGCTCCAACACACACAACACCACTCACTGCTGCTTTGTTTGCTCTGCCCTCTATCTTGAGCCAAACAAAGAACTGGGACTGAGAAATCATGTGTTAAATATTATAGAAACAACCTATAAGTGCTTTGTTCAGTATAATCTCCATGTGGAGATGTGTGTTACGGCATGGATGCTGCTGGCTACGCAACACTGGATGGTGCTGTCAGGCTTTGGGAATGTCTCAAGCCCAGAGAAGGGGAGGTGAAAACAGTCTCCCAGCTCCGTGTGCAGTTTCTCAGGATGGTTTCTATATCAAATGCTGCGTGCTGCTCTGGGAACTGAGGGAGTTCCCAGGGAATGTTCCATGTGGGTTTAACAGCCCAAGTGGGCACCAGGATCTACTGATGCCATAGTAGGCAAACCAGTGCCCTTGGGACTAGCTGGGTACCCAGGCACAGAGCTGCTCACCAGCTGCCAGAAGTGAGTCAGGAGATCCCAAAGCAGTTAAATCCTGGGCCTGTGCCTGACAGTAAGTTATCCACGAGTAAAGCACATGATGCCTTTTGCAGTGTGCCATGAGGACATTACTGTTTTCTGGAGTGGAGTCAGTGACATGGGCAAAGATTACTATAAAAATCTGAAGTCTCTTACCTGTTTTGTTCTCTCTCTCAGATTCTTATCCTCATAGTGGGGATGGTTGGTTAAGGTCCGTCCAGTGCACAGTTTGACTCCTGCCAACAGCTGCATGCTCCCAGCAAACACTGCTGTGTTTGGAGTGTTTGACCTAAACAAACATTGATAAGTCTGAGGAAGTCTCTGCAGGGGCACTTTTTCAATGCTTGTGACAGATCAGAAGGAAAAAAAAGATTGCAAAAGTATTTTTCTGCTTCTCCTCTATTCAGGGAGCAAACTGTTCAAGCACCTGTGTATTCTTCAAATGCCAAGTGGATAAATGACAATACTCAACTGCAAATAAAAATTTACTAAGCACTATGAGAAAATCTAAGGAAAACATGATCCTGACAATTTCAAACTATTTCTGTATTTCATATATTTATCAGGTTCATAAAGCCAATGAATATTTACAGGTTTCTATATTCCAATTCTTTTACTATTTCAAGAAACTTATTGTGACTTAGGTTTGAGTCTGATATACATATATATAAGGTACTTTATATAAAATGAATTATTAATCTGAATGGTAAAACTTTTTGTTCTTGTCCAGGCATTCATCATTCACTTGGAACAAAAACTTTGTTCCATGAGACATTACTCTTCCTATTCTGACAACTGTGAGAGAGAAACTATGAAAAAAGACATCCCAGCTGCAAAAAGCTGGGGCAGGGGGATGCAGAAGATGCCAGAATAATGCTGTCACTTTTTGTTACTGTAACCTTTGACATTCCAAATAGCAGTCCTGGTATCTCAAGATCACTCAAGTACCAATAATGAAAAATTTTTTTTTTTGCTCACCTTCTTCCCAACAAGTTTACAATCGAAAATATTTGCAAAGACACAACAGAAGGCCAGCGCAAAAAGAAAGTAAAAATGCCAGGCAATGGACACTCCTGTAATCAGGCTAATTGGAACTGGCCATAGTATGCTGAAGTGACTTCTAGTGCTTAGTAGGCACATAACCATGGAAGGGTCTGTGAAGACTAAACCAACAGAAAGCAGCACACATTAAATCAACTAAAATGAAATTAGAATGGGAATAGGTGCCTAACACCCCCATGCACACACTAAAGTACTCCAGTAACTGTGACAGTTTGGGGTGCACTTTAGGGAGCCTTGGGAAACTGCAGCTACACACTCAGTCATCATCTTTTAGCTCCATGATCAGCTTAAAAATGTTGAGACAAGTATTAAATTTTATTATCGCCTTTCAAGAGATTATGCTTAGCAAATGAATGAATAATTACAAACCCTTCCTAAAAAATCTTGCACTGGTACATTAATCTCATCTAGGAAGGCCAGAGATAGTATTTTTAATAGGCCAGTTTAACTTTCCTGATAGACTAGTCCTTCAGGACTTTATAAAACCAGTTTAATTTTAAAGTCTGAAAATATTTAATCTCTTAAGAAATTACTTATTACTTAAAATATTCAAAGCCACAAGTGTCCTGAAGTACATGTTCCATTAAAAGAAATTAATTCCTGATAGAATTTAGTACTATGCAAATGGGATAGCCCTGACAGGCTGTCAGCCAGGACTCATCCCTGGAGCTGTGGGAAAGCACAAGTCTGTAGGACTAAGCTGCAAAGGACATGGGCTGGACTCACAGAGGGACTGGGGAGAGCTTAGACACCCAAATAAAAATGATGATTCTTAAAGCATCTTCAACATGTTTCTGTGTTTGTGCCTGGGCCAGGCAACTTCTAATGTGACAAGCAGGTTTCTGTGGTTGTTCAAGATTAGTTCAAATTTTAAAACCTGACTGGCCTTACCAAGGCAACCCTGCTCTTCTGATTGCAGATTTGCATTATAATGGGCTCTGTAGCAGACTCAAACTTTCTTAAAGCCACTCACACAGCCCCTCCCAACAAGTACCAAAGGCAAAACCACAAACAAAAAAGCCAAACCAGCCTGCAGGCTCTTTTCTTTAAAAAGAAATCTAAAGGTGATAGTGCCCTTTATTAATAACCTACTGGTAAAAATGCTTGTCAAAAATATAGAAACACAGAACATACTGAGTTGGAAGGGACCCACAGGGCTCATCCAGTCCAGCCCCTGTCCCTGCCCAGACCCCCCAGCAATCCCCCCTGGGCATCCCTGGCAGAGCTGTCCAAACACTCCTGGAGCTCTGGCAGCCTCGGGGCTGTGCCCATTCCCAGAGCCTGGGCAGTGCCAGCACCTCTGGGGAAGCAGAACCTTTCCCTGATCTCCAGCCTGACCTTGCTCTGGTCGCATGGAGCAGAGATTGGAGCTGCAGCCCTCAGTGAATCTCCCCTCAGAAAATGGACCCTGCAGAAGATTCATGGCTCCATTCCTCCCCTTTCCAAAAGCATTCACTCCTGCTGAACGGGTGAAATACAGCCGAGTTGCATTCTTTACTGGACAGAAAGAGTTTTTGCCAGCACTTCCTGCTCTCCCTATCCCTTGAAAACATCTAGTGACCCTTGCTTGCTTTTCAAACAACTGCCGTAAGTGCTTTGGTCTGGGGTGGAGTTTAACATCTGGTGTTCCAGGTAAAGGCAGATGTTTCCTGAGATTTACAAGTCTGAAGTCCTAGGAAATGATACTCCTATAGACACATCACTGTCCATGTTTTACTGGCCAGCTCAGATGTTCCCAGACCAGCAGGAGCTACTGGAAGCCTTCTTTCCCTGTGCTGCACTGGCAGTGCCAGGAGCACAAGTGCTGGATTTCAGTGCCCCGGGCAGAGAGCTGGGAGGTGACCCTGGGAGGTGACACAGAGCCCCAGGCAGTGTCTGCCTTCTCCAGTTCCCTCCCCTTGAGCTCTTGTGGGTGCCACTGCTGAGTTCTGGGGACACAGGAGCCCTGAGGAGCATTCCCAGGGCCAGGATGGCTCCTGCATCCCAGGGATGCTCCTGCCTGAGCCGGGCACCACCGCAGGGCTCTGCAGCCAGGGCACCTCCTGTGCTGCAAACCCCTGAATGACACTTCTCTATTGCACTAAAACCAAGCCATTTTTACAACTGTCTGAGCAAATGATGTATAAAATGAAAGGATAATTTGTTTTTATAGCTCTCTGCCAGGCTCCATACCACACTGCCCAACCTGCAAACAATTTATTCTCTAGGAAATGTCACTAAATAATGACAAGGACTTACAGGTCAAACTGATTTACATTATATAATTTAAATGCCATTCCAAGCAGACCTGATGGCATTTTGAACAAATAATCTCATTTATTTTTGAAGCTCTAAGCTTTCAACAAGTTAATTACAGCTGAGCTAATGGGTAAACTAAGCACTATATTACAGTGTGAGAACCTTTTCTTTACCTTACACTTAAGAATTCAGAGAATTATATAAATACGAAAGAATAACTCATTAAAAATAGAAGGGTTTTACAGGAAGTACTTGCACAGACTAGAAAAGTGGTAGTAATTCTTTCTCTTAAAATACTAAAGAATTATTGTGAGCTGGTTTTAGGAAGCACTAAGGAAGAAATGGCCAACAGTGCAATTACATCATCAGAAATAAAATGGCTATTTCTACTAGAAGTCCTCCAGACTTGAACCCTGTAGTTGACTTTCAAAGCCATAAAATCTAACAAGTCACAGATTACTTCATTACTAGTGCCTGAGTATGGTATGAATCAACAAAGTGAAAGGATTTGAGAAAAGGAGATTCTGAGGAATATGCCATGATAGATTTTTCTTTTTCTTTAAAAGAAAATCTTTTTATTTGCAGAATGCAATATTAAAACATCACAGATTTAGCTGCAAAAGACAGGCAGTAAAGCATATTCAGTCACACTGACATGGTTCTTTTTTTTCCCTCTGGTTTGGAAAGACTGAAAATTGCAAAAATGGAAAACGACAGTCACAAAGAAAGAGCAACAAGATGTGTTTTTGTGAGTCCCAGCTTCAATTTTATGCATGCAGATTATGCTCACATAAAGGACTGCACCTACACAGCTGGTATAAACCTACTTCTCAGGCACTGCAAGTTCATGCCTCACATGTATGTCCAACAAAAGCCCAAGAATTTAAGAACAATAATTTAAAAAAAAAAATAATATTGCCTTTAAAGTCTGGAACACGTGTTGATTTCATTGTGATTACCCTTGAAAATCAGGAATGTAAGTAACAGAGTTAAACTTTAAAGCTGGCTTGAAATTAAAATATAGCCATTAATATAAATTAGCATAAATTACTGAAAGAAAGAACCACCATTGAAACATGGGTGTTTCATTTGCATAACCTTAGGAGCTTTTTGGAATTTTGTGGGGTTTCCATTAATATACATATTTGCCTGCTTGTCCCTACACCTGGTTCAGGTACAGCTGACATCCAACAATGCTCTGCTGAATCTCAGTCTCAGTTAGCTTTTTCATTGTTTTGGCTGTTGCCCAAGATTTTTAAGAACTTTTTCTCTGAGTTTTGGCAACTGCTACTGATATATTCCACAACTGTAGACAGATTTCCCCTTTAAAGGCAGAAGACATTGCTTCTTTAGCACTTACCAGGAGTAAACAGAGTAGGGAAGTTCACGCTATTGATTTGCTCATTCTACTGATATTCCTCCCCATCTCACAAATGAGCATGTTGTTCCTGCTGTCTTAGGGAGAAAGACCAAAACTAAGAATTTTAATGTACCTCCCAGCTGGGAACAGAACTGTGAACTATCCCTGGAGCACTGGATTCTTAACTTTTTTGTTGGAAAAAAGCTAAGAAAAGGAGATGACGGGTAGGAAAAACAGCAGAAGACTGGGATATGCAAAATCATTACGTAAGAAATTGTGCTCTGCAATTGTACAGATACAAACCAGTTAATCTTCCTGAAAATGCTATGGCAATTTTAGTGAGGGCAAGAGTAAGAAATGCTTCTGCAGACACTTCACAGGGGACAGACTAATAGTTGGCCATTATTCAGATTGCATATCTGGACAAGTTAATATGCATTTAGAGCTTAGCGGACAGAAGGGTTTTCTTGTTGTGGAGAGATTGCAAGACAGATGAGTTATTCCTAATTCACTGCTATACATGACAAATTAGAGCTTTTCATACTGAGTTTTAATAATGAATGATTAGTTCCTGACACCAGCCTTGACAGGTCATTAACTAGAGCACAACTATCAAGTATTAGTAGAGTAAAAGTGTTCTCTTACACATCAAACTTAACAAAATCTGTCCCATTTTGAGAAACTTACCATAAATTTTGTTGACTGGTATTTAAAGCATAGATAATTAACTCTTCTTCACAGGAATAATATTTCTAAATACAATAAATTCTAAGTAAAAAAATGCCCCTCTGTAATTGTCTGTCATGACTTGGAATGAAGAGATGACAAGCACCAGTTTAGCATTCTCAGCACTAAGAACACATGAAAAATTATTCTCATTGGAGCCAGTCAAATCCAGTTCATGGCTGGGAATAACTCCACATGCATATTTTATGTATAAATCTATATATAACTCTATATATTGCACACAGGAGACCTGAACTATCAGACATTTACCATCTTTTAATAAAACAGTAGTGCTAAATGGAACTGGCTGGTAAACATTAGTCACAAAAACATGTCAATAAGGCTGCAAAGATTCTAAATGATGGAAAAAATCATGGCCTGCTTTCAAAATAAGTCAGTGAAGGCTTGTAATATATTTCACTTCTAAATTACTCCTTCTAGTTTATGGATTAAAGAAATACAACATTATGGAGTGTAAATATGTTGCTATGGGGAGAACAGGCTGGGTGACTGGTTTCGCTGAAGTTCATTGCATATGAAGGAAATACTCCAAGGAAACACATCAAACAGTTCAATATTTAATGTTGTATATTCAGATTTCCTTTCAGAATGTTTTTCTCTATAACATGAAACCAATTCTATTTTTTTAAAATCATTGCCGGAGTTGCAAATAAATACAACTTCCAGGAATCTCCCTGTTCAGAAACTTAACCTGTAAGTTTTTAGTGGCTGCTCTATGTTAATAGAGAACATATCCCTTCAGTTCACAGCCCTCCAGAGAACATCCTACCTGGCCTTTTTTCTCAGCATCTTTTACATGAAGTATTCCAAACTGCTTCCACCTAAAAAATACCTTCCTATGCTCTGTGAGAAAGCAGAAGTGATGAGGTGGGGTCTGAATGATTAACTCACACCCCTGAAAGACTGCACCTATGCTTAGCTGTGACAAGCTCAAGTTCAATTCAAAATATTTTGCCTGCATTTTGGAACACATGTTTGGATTAATTCTAACAAGCAGAAACAACTTAGATTGTTTTCAAGTCCCACAAAGAGACTGCAGAGTAAGAATTTTCCAGTACTACATCCGAGCTTTTTAACATTTACAGAGTTGAGAAGGACATTCGGCTGGGGGCGTGCGGGCTGAGGAATAAAATGATTTCACTGCAGAGGTCTATTAACGTAAAGCAGCTATAATATGATGAGAGAAGCGTGGCACCTCCAAATTTACCTCTTTTGGCTGGGAAAACTGTGTCCTTATGGGGGCAAAGGGATCAGCTGGTTCCCTGATGCACGTGGAACACAGCAGTGATACTGAACAGTGACACTGAACAGTGATACAGAGCTGCTGTCCACAGCTGCTCATAGCCAACCTCCTGATAACCCACTCACCCTAACTATCCTCACGGGTCACCAGAGTTCACTGCTGAGCTGGGACAAATAAGGAGAACACTATAACTAAGAACATTAGATCTACACAAATAGCATTTAACTGAAATAGAGAAAAAATCCTCTTACTTAATCCAGTTCATCAGCTCCACAGTGTCTGGGTCATAGAATTCTCTCAGCTCTGATAGTTCATCCATTATTCCTGGCCAGAACTATAATGGAAACAAAATAGAACAACCTGAAGACAGAATGAACCAAACAAGTTTTGCTTGAATGTATTACTTCCTCTTAGCTGGCAAATAATCTTGTCCAGCTCATGGGTAAATTGCAAGACTCAAGAGTATCTATCTACTCTTCCTGGGAAGGAGAGGTGGCTGTCACTGCAGGATGAACACACAGTTTCAGAGTTGGAGATCTGCACTCCTGCCAGATAACCAACAGGACCAGAACTGCCCATTGTCAAAGATGACAAGACAAGGAAAGATCCCAGGAATTAACATTGGAAAGGAAATATAAAACTAAATTTAAAAAGGCAGGAAACCTGTATCAGAAGTAAAGATTATTAGACATGCTAAAGATGCTATTAATGGTATTTCAGAAATTTGAATTAAAAGAGAACCACTGAAGGCAAAAATAAAACTCTGACTGAATGACAACAACCAATAGGCCATCAGGGGAAAGCTTTTAAAAATTTACTACAGACAAAGAATACAAAAATTAAATCCAGAGGAGAGAAAAAAGGATGGAAACTGATTCTGAAAAGCTTAACCCTCCTGTCCAAAAAGCTAAGGGAACAATGATTTATTTAAGGGTTTATTGTTTAAGCCAGTGAATATTGCAGGGCAGAAGGGAGCAATTAAGGAAGATAATGACAATGCTAATGACAGATTGCTGCGCATCAGTCATTACTACAGAGGATGTAATGGTGAAACCTATTCCAAACCTGCTTTCTTTAGATAAGGACTGTTGGTGTGAAAATGGAAATGCTACAGGAGAAAGTCTAAGAAAACCCACCTGATAATCTAAAAAGCCATTAATCATCCCATTTTAATGCTCATCCAAGAGTTCAGAAGGAATCTGAATGTGGTGCTGCTGAGCCCCTTAGCAAACGCAGGCGTTCCTTCACTAAAACTGTAATTACGTGACAGGCTTGGGGGCAGGAGGTATAACTGGGCCAATTAAGATTCTCACTAGTGTACCTGCTTACTTAAAACACTTGGTTCAAGTACTCCTGGCACCTCCCAGGTGGAGCCATGGCAGCATCACAACCGTGGGGAAGCTTTGGGAAGTACAACAGTACAACAGATGTATTTCTGCTCTTCAGAAGCTCTCCCAGAGATTAGTAAATTCAGCTGTTGTGAAAGGAGATTGTGGAGTCTCATCATCAATCAAAATTTCCTCTCTTCATTACTAAACTGCCTGGAATAGCTACACATTCTGAGAGCTTGGAGTCCTTCAGGGTGGTGACAGAAGGAATGGGCTCTGCTTTGCTTTTCAGTCATATAAGGGGGCATCCTGTCCTGTCACCTCCTGAGGAACCAGTGGCTGTTCCACCAGTGCTACAGCTCCCTGCTCACTGCTGGGGCTATTCCATGGCATTCACTCTGTAAAGGTTTTTTAAGTCCCAGTACTGCAAGTTTTGAGTGAGTACAGGCAGTTTCTACTGGAGGAAAATTTTGGTAATGGGGCTTGCTATTAGTGAATTGAAAAATTCCTAGGTAGCACTACACCTCATTAGTAGAACCAAGAGAAAACTAAGGTACTTCAGGAGTTCCAAATACAAGAGAATGACAAATAAAAAGTAAAGCATATGAAAATATGGACCAATAACACTGAAAGAACTTTGTTTTATAAATCAAGTATATGTCAGATTGAGAAAAAGTCTGGTGACACCAGGAGAGGATAAAAAGAACAGATGGAGCACATACGGGATGTAACAAACTGCTCAGAAGAGAGAGGAAAATGTGAAAGAGGTTTCCAGCTTGTAACAGTGCTTGTCTCTGGGGTCAAAGTCTTCAGGAAAAGAAATTGGTTGTCAAGTGGCTTAAGTTAGCCCTGAACTGAAGCTGTTCATGCAGCCAAAGACTGCTCAGATCATGAGTATATGTTCCAATACTAATAAATGTCCATGTTTGGAGGAAAAGGACTTGGGCATGACGAAGATAAAAATGCAGCTGCAGAAGTAACAGGAATACAGAGTTTTTACTCTTAGAGAGAAATCAAGATTATTTGGCAATCCTTGGAATTAAAATGCTCAAGCTCAGGATCTCACCTTAAGTACCTATAATTTATTCAGAGATTACTGACATGCAAACACAAATTGATGAGCATTATTGTGAAATTAAAATACAATGAACACAGAAAAAGGTGAAGTCTACCTGAGAAGTGTAAGAAGCAAAACATAAATACTACTTGGTACTGCTTTTTGCATGTGTTATCTGCAGCACAGCTAAAGCAGGCATGGAAATACTTCAGCATTTTCACTTTATCTGAAAGATGTTTGCACTGTAATAATGAAAATCACATGCAAACAGGAATACAGATGTCTTACAGGTCTCAAACATCCTGTACCTGAAATCTGAAAGAAAGCCAGCATTGTAGCTGCATCTGCACCTCAATAAATTATTGTTCAAGAGATGTATTTGGGGCTGTAGTAACCACATGCCTCAAAAGAGGCTTTCATTGTCTTATTCAGGATTAGGTTAATAATCCCATAAAAATCCTATTTTGAGGAACTGCACTGAAGAATAGTTCTTCTGACTAATGTAACAGATAATGAAACACCTAACTGCCCTCCTACAAATTCAAGAGAACCAGCCCTCATGGCCCTTTAACTCTGTGGTGTACAGAGAAACTGCCCCTGCAATCTGAGCAGTCAGTGACTGAACAGAGAAATTCTTGTCTGGAAAAGAGAAAGATAAGTAAGTCTCTGTTCCAAAAAATGTCCTTCCACTGTGTCTTTATAAGGTTTTAGAGAGAGAATATAAAACCACATTCTTACAGATGCGATGGGTCCTTTCTGGATCTCTGTTAGAATTCCTGTCTGACCACTGCCAGGGCACCTGGGACAGGAGCCTTTCGGGTCCCTTCCAGCTCAGAATATTCTGTGATTCCCTCAGGCTTCTCATCAACTCTTTCAGCTTTGTAGAAAAGACCACAGAGTGATCCACTCTTCTGGTATGGATCAACTGCAAGAACTTGCTCAACTGCAAGAACTGACTCAGGACAAAAAACAACTGAGAGGTGACAAATTTCTCATTCCTACTGAGAAATTTGAAAAACAGTATTTTTAATGTCAATAAAAATTATTTCCTATATTTAGAAGAAACACAAAAATGATGCTTTTCAGGCAGACTGAGCACAACTAATGACTGCTCTACAGCCCATGAAATCAGTGTTTCTGTTGACTTCAGAATTGAATGTGACAGAATTTAGGAACTTCACATCTGCTCATGAAGAGTGGGAGGAAAATTATTCCTAGTGATCTGTCACATTAGACTATCAGAATGTCATGCTCCTGGTATCCCCCATCTCAGAAGAAATGGCATTGTTTCTGTCATATTCGGAGATGATGAAAATGGCTAATGACTTCCTAACTGTCACATCAGTGGACAAAAAAGAGTCTTCTAACAGAACAATAAGACAATTTAAGGGGAAAACAGTATTTTTTTACTTTTTGTTTCAGTTTTGGAGGGGGGAACACAATACTGGAGTGAAGTCTATTAGCAGCTTTCTTAACTGCTTCACTACTGCCTTTTGAACTGGAACAATGAAATGAATCTCGTGTTTTGCTGAAGGGAATTAATTTCATCTCAGACTAGTTATTGCAGAAACAACTTCCCCATCAAAGCAGACTGTGAATTTTTTGTCTTTGTGACTACAGATTAAAAGAATGGTTTGACCATTAAATCAGTGTTCTAAATCTCACTGCTATGACAGACTGATAATCTTGTACATGTTATTGATTTAGGTATGTTTCATGCATTTACATTTGTTTGAAATAATAATGTTCTGTTTCTGGAACAGACAGAAGAGAAACCATTTAATAATTCCGAACTTTAAAACATACGAGATGAGGCACAGCAGAAGAGATTATGATTATTTCTGCTCCTACAAGAAATCATGACACAATGTGAAAATCTCCATTTTATCCACAACTTAGTTAAAACCAAAAGAGACAACTCCCATTTCCATAAAATTATGCATTTAAATAGCACCTGTTACTTACACGTACAATCAGATAAACATTTGTATCTATGTACAACTACTTTGGATCAAATAAGCCCAACTGATCCTTCACAGACAATTCCACAGGCACAGCTATCCTTATTTTTAAAATTCAGTTACAATTCTTGTATGTAGTTACTAATAAGACAACCATTCTAGGAGAAAGGAAAAATTTCATGCAACTAAAATATGCCAAAACATTGATAAAAATTTCTTACCTTAAATGAAATGTACAGTAATGTAATTATTGGTATAGAATACTTAATCACCTGTGTCTATGAGAAATTGAAAAAATAATTGGTTATTTTGATGATACATTTAATAGACTTAATTTTTAATGTATTGATATCTGAAATATTTAACACATAGTGGAATTAAAGAGATTGAATTTTAAGCCCATATTCTGATTTTATTTTCAAGTAAAACCCTAACTACAGACCCATCACAAAAGATGGATTTATATCTTTAAATCTATATTCTACAAGGTGGAAAACACTGTCACTCAATATAATTGCAAAGGTCTTTTCAGACTGCTGATGATTTCTTAATATGGAGACTTTTTTAGTAAAAATGAGGTTATTTTTCATAGCCACATCTATATTGCCATCTAGTGTATTCCAGTGGAATTGTTTAATATAGAAATCACCAGAAAATCCATTTTACTTACTAAATTTATACAAGCATCCAGCAGAGATACCTGGTTTGAGAGAACTACAAGCAATATTCAGCCCTGAGCCTTGACTTGGTTCAGATGCAGCCCAAAGCCCAGCGGATGAAAGGCTGTGATACAGTGCTCACCCTCTGGGATGTGTAGAGATGGAGACACTTCAGGATGAGTTTCCAAACCTCTGTACTGCACAGGCCAAAGGATGCAAAAACACACATGTGGGATGTCCAGAGGTACTTCATCCTGGAAGAACACAAGCTTTTCATGATCATTTGGAGCTCTGCAAAGCTGCTTGTGACAGCAGTTAATGTCTAGAGAAATTCTGAACATGGCTTCCTTGGACTTTCATGCCTCTGAAATAACTGAGGTACAGGACTGACACTGCACTTTGCTATGCACTCTTGAGAACATCTCTGTTCCCAGACTTCCATTCTTTCTGGCAGAACTTTGGGAAATGCCTCAGTCTACAAGTAGAAACACACCAGGGAAAGAATGAATGCTCATGATCCTATCAGTTTGTGGTCAACATATTTTACACTTCTATAAATATATACTCAATCATCTGAACAAGCCCTTAGAATCAAGAAAATATACCTCATTGTGCTTAATGCCAGACATCCAAAAAGAACTGTGTGAGCTAAGCTGTAGGCAGCATCAGGCTTCAGTGTCACTGTATATTCTTCCATTTTGTCCTTAAAATGGACTTGATTTGAACCACTAATTGAAGAAAAAAAAAGTGTTATACGAAGTTCTGTAACATATTTCAAATAATTATCTGCATTTTAAAAAGCACAGAATCTTTCTGGGACCAGAAACAACAACCATTGATTGCTATGAGCCCACAACCTTCTATTGTCTTTATGATCTAATTTAGCCTGATGCCACCAACTTGATGCAGCATCAGGTATTTCTTTTCATGTGCAGATTTCTGGGAATGCAATGGGTTTAAATCAACTGGATTAGAATGAGATAAAATTCTTTACAGCAAGGCAAGCTTGGTTTCTTGTTGGAAGCAGCTATTCCCATGTTCAGAGGGCTTTTGATGAGAGTGAAGAATTTAACTGTGATTTGTGGGGTTGTGCTGGTCTGTCTGGATGTTACCAAAGCCACAGATTGAAAGCAGAGTTAGGGAAAATGAGCCCTGAAGGGAGTGGTTATTGCTTGAGATGTCTAGCCTTGTGAATATATGTGGAGGTCCCTTGGAAAAAAAAAAAAAAAAAAAAAAAAAGCTGCTTCAATTTGTGGGGTTTTCATGATTTTTCAGGGCAGGGGATAAGTGAGATAAATGCATTAAAAAAATAGGGACATGTTTGGGATTACATCTAGGGTTGCAGAAAATAAGAGCACCAGAATCTTTCTTTTTAAAATCGACTGATGCAGTAAGTTTTTAAAGAGGCTGGCTGAATACTACCAAAATTATTTACAGATTACTGGCATTTGACAATTACTATTGTAATGTAATGTAATTGTCTTGGATACTCTCCCTTTCTCTTGCTCTCCTTTTTATCCAGTCTTCCCTAAAATCTCTGATAGTGACACTGGTCAGGTGACACTCCTTGAGTTTTTGCTTAATCAAGTTTTATATGATCCCTTCCACCTTTTGCCCAGGTACAAGTAAAACTGAGAGCTCTATAATGAACCATTTTTTTAAAATAACATTTCTGTCTGATTGTGTTCTGTAGATACCTCAGAATCCCACTGATTAGCTCTGGGAACTGCCAGCAGTGATGCACAGTTACAGCTCCTGTCCCTTCACACAGATCACAAAGTTCAGCACAGACTATTCCAGCTCATTTCTGGGCAGTTTGAGGGTAACACCTGGGAAATCTGTGATTTGGGGTGCTTTGCACAGGGAAAATGGGATGAACTAAAGAAACTAACAATGTTTTAGATAAAAACATCCTTCCCCTGCTTTCCCACATCCCAAAAAACCCAACCAACATTATACATACTGCAAAACTTCAGCAGCAAAGAGCTTAACTGAATCTAGGGAAGGATGTTCCTTTGGTTCCATTTTTAGATTCAACAGGAAGTTACTTATTCTGCCTGATTTCTCTCTCATACACCCCACTCCTCAGTAGCTGTGCAAAGCAATCCTGTATTTGCTGCTGTGTTCACCTGTCAGCTCCTCAGCCAGCTGAAGAAAATAAAATTGATAAAAATGTGAATTTTCTTAAAACTGGATTTACCTGAGGTTCCGAAAGGCAACAATTACAGCTGCTACTGTCAGAAGGAAGAGAACAAATCCATAGATGTAAAAAAGTAATGTACTGGAGAGTCTTGAGAAAGTATTTAAAGGTAGCAAACCAAAGGCTTCTTCACAAAGATACAGGTTAGCATCAAAATCTCTAAAAAAAAATAAACATCTTTGTCCATCATGTATTTCATGACTTGATGTCAAAAAGGATCGAAGTTTCCTTTCTTCTCAAGAAATTATTAAGTCACAGTTGTGCAGATTATTCTTAGGGCAAGTAACATGAGGGAAAACTGATTTATTGCACACATTTGAAATAGGAACAACCTGAAGGCTTCAATTAAAGAAGTCAAACAAAAAAGCAAAACTGCAGCTAAATCGTACCTTGTTGCTCCAAATCCAAATTTTGCTTTCAGGAATTTGAATATATGCTCATCTGACTCAAGATTAAGAATTTTCTACAAAGGGGGGAAGAGACAGGAAATTACATGTTAAATATCAAAAAAGATGCACAGTAAACAGCTTTTTTTCACTTAAATGAAACTGTAAAGCAACACAGGCTTACTAAGATGGGTGCTTTGCAATGAAAGAAGCATTCAGTTTTAACTGCATTCATTGAAAAGAAAATTCAGTGATACACTTTGCAAATGCTCAACAGTATAGATCTACAACTGACAAAATTACAGGTGAGCTTCAAGTTAACAGAAATTATTTGGTGGCAATTTATGAAGTTTTCAAATCCACATATCAAAGATTAGCAAAACTGTCTTTAATTTCTAAAATGCAGTTTCTGAGATGCAGAAAAATCTCACTGCAGTTTTTGTTTAATGATATTCCTGTAGATGAAAAACAAATAGCTTTTAACATAATACAATACGTAATTTTTGATATTAAAAATTATTTGCCTACCTTAATGAATTTATTTATTAGGAGAGTCAAGCACAAAACTAGTAGAACATGGAGGATAAGTTTCCCAAGCCTATCAAGCAAGCCACCCTTTTTTAGGTTTTTCTACAAAGAAGAAAATATTAGTATTTCAGTCCTTTTTTTATTTTAATGTATTTGGAACAAAAGCATCACAGGCTATTTGAAACTGCTCATCTGCTAGTCCTGAGCAGCACCAACTCTGCATTAGGGTCATTTAAGCAAAAATAGGCACAGAACCAAGTACCCAGAATAAAGATATACTTCTTGCACAAAACTGAAGGGACAATGTCATAAAAGCTTTGATCTCGTGATCTGGTAGTTTTGGAAGCAGCCAAACAGCCTTTCTTTGGCAGCAGCCCTAGTGCACTTACAGAAGTTAGTCCCTGATTTCCACAGTCTTGTGTGCCTTTTGAAATACCTGCTCATTACACCTTCCACTAAACATGGCAAAGGGATCTTGTGGCTCTCTCAGTTGATAGGATTTTGAGCAATTTTCCAGTTACAAGCTCCAGATAAGGTGCTCACAGGTAACTGGGAATAGGTGCAGACAATAGGAATGGCCCTGTAAACTCCTTTACTGTGGTCAGAGGCTATCACCAATGCCAGAATCAGAAAAAAAAAAAGAACCATAACTACAGTAAAAAAACCCTAATCTTTGAAAGAGACAATGGATTTCAGGAAGCTGAACTCGACATGAGCCTAGCTGTCCTAGTTGTTTCAGATTATTTTGTTGGAGGCAGATCCACAAATTCAAGCCAAGTCCTGTTGAAACAGGTGTAAAGTCCATTTATGCAATTTTTTTTTAGGATCCAAACTGCAGCTTGCACAGTCATTAATGTTAATAGCAATCATGGAATTATGATGTCTGATGTGCTTGGTTAAGCTGCAGTTAGTGTAATGGAATTCATTATTTGATCAGGCAATGTTTGGGTTGCTGTATGCTATAGTAATTCCTCTAATTAGTATTGCTAAATGAAAATTATAATGCATCTAAATTACTTATTCACACACACACACAGGCACATATATAAAAATACTCTTTATTTAGTACTAGAGAAATATTTTGGTACCTACCTGGATTGTTCTTGCTATTAAGACAGAAACATTAAAACTTATAAGTAATGACCCAAGAATCATAGAATTGAAGAACTGTAGGACACAGACCAGCAGTAACCCAGAAATCTGAATGATATAGAGCCATGTAACCTGTAACAATAAGGAGATTTTTATGCCTACAAAACTTTACAGTCATAGGTGCAGTAAATCTTGCAGTAAATCATTACATTTAAAGCCATTACTGTATCCTTTTTATATTTACGTCCTGAACTACTTAGGTTAATATTTTATGCCCATTTTATACTTAAGGAAGCCTGATCCTATAATCAAGCAGATTAACTGCTGATTATAGCTGATTATAACTGCAATGTGAGGAAAATAATAATTACTTAATATTTGGAAGATGTCTATATCTTCTTCAGTCCATGAGGTGTTTCTGTAGCCTCTGTGATGTCTTTATGATTAGAGAGTTATGGCTCAGTGCAGTTCAGCAAACAAACATCACCTACCTTCTCAAACTTTTCAGTAATAGTTCAGTATAATCCCTTTTGGGTTATGCTAAACTATTATCAGTGCTCAGCTCACTGTAAGCACTAAACCCCAGCTGATTTTCTGACACAGTGGTACCAAAATATACACTTTACCTCACACAAAGGTCCCAAGTTCAGTCTTGTATAACAGCAGTGGTATAAATCAATATCAATGAGCCCAACAAACTCCAAGAGTTCTAAGCAGTGCTTTTTTGAAAATGAGTACAGACACGGTGGTGTGGTGAGTCTGTTTTGGAATAACTCACGATGAAGCTGGTAATTTGCTGACTTTTAAGGCAGCTGACCAGTCACATTAAATGTTGACTTCAGCTTGCAGCTGCTGATATAATGAAGAGTTCAAAAACTAAAGTAAGCCACATTTATCTTGATATGCAGGCACCATACTCATTTTCAGTTAAATTAATACAATCAGTAAAGTTCAAGTCTGCTTCAAATTTAAAATTAATTTACATGAATTACTCTTCATTTTCCTGTAACCTTTCCTAAAGTTAGAACCTTTTTCAACCAGTGCAAGCTTTCAGCATGCCTAAAATGATCTTGGTAGAATTTCACAGCAATGTTAATGTCAAAGACAGTTCTTTCATCTTCTACAGTACATTTCTATTTTGAAAGACTGACTGTCAATGATCCCTGACCTTCTTAGTAAGACTTGTTTTATTTTCTGGCTTATCCAGCTCAGCAACACAGCAGGGGCAATGCTGTTATTTTGTGGTGAATGTCAATGCAGGCAAGACAACTGCTTCTCCCCAGCAACCTGGTGTTCTGCATCCTCCTCCTGTGTACAGAGCTTGGCCCTGACTGGCAAATGAGGATGCACAGTGCTTGAGGCAAAATTCATATACTGCTTTGACTTCAGCTTACACAAAGATTTCCTGTGGTACTTTTTAATTCTGGCAACTTTGAGAGGCCATGCTAAGCTGTGGTATCAGATCCACTGTTAGGATGGTGTTTGGAAGTGTCAAATAGTGTCTAAACAAAAGTAGACAAAAATGAACAAGACATGAACTAGGTTCAAGGGAACAAAACCCAGGAATGGTGTTTCCATTATGCACTTTTACACTTGCAGGGTTTACACAGTGTGATTACTTCAAAGCACAAGGCACACAGCACAACCTGTATTACTCTGGGCATCCAGGCCACTGGTTAGGAAAACACCTCCTAAACTGTTGGCTTTGTGAAGGCAAAGAAACAAAAGTAGGTTCTTTCCAAAGAGAAAGTTACCTTTGCTGTGGGAAGCATGTCCAAGCAGTCCAGTATGAACAATGCCAATGCTTGTATCAGCATCATAAACTGGTTAAATTGCCAAGTCAGGCTAAAGAGAAACGTTGCTATGAATACTGCCATGAGTGTGAGCCTCTGCAAGGAGGGAACAAAGTTTTCTTTTGTAGTTTTCTTCATTAAAACACAGAAGATCAAAGAAAAAGAAACCCCAACAAATCAAACCAAAGCTCACCTTAATCTGGTTTTATTTTAAACCACTTTTAAAATACTGAACTTTCTAACTGCAATAACAGCTTAGAGGATAACAAACTTTTTATTAGAGTTACAAATTCTTGACTTATGCCTGTGTTTTATCACTGTAATAGCATCTTCAAGAAAACAGTGAAATCTTGGATAGTTTCAGACCCCAGATTAAAATGCAATACCTGTTTTACTGTGGCATAAATAGCAGTTACTTGATCAAAATGAGAAGTGGTAACTTAAGAACTGATGGTCAAAGAAAATGGATCACCCATTTGCTTTAATTCTTGCAGATCAGGACAGTTCTCTGTTACTGAGTTTATTGGGTCATACTTGTCAGAAATACTCACTTCTTGAGCAGGCTGTAAATGAGTTCTGAGTAGGTATGTGATGGCTGCTATCTGAACAGCAAAGAATGGCAGTGCCCAGTTCTCCCTTAAAGGAATGGTGAATTCTACCCTTGTAGTATCTACTCTGTACAAAACAGAGAGTTTCACAAATTTAAAATCAAGCAAACACTTGGTGACAGCTTGCAATGCCAGGCATCTTTATGCTGTTTTAACTAATTTATAAAATTGGAGGCTCTACACTCCAGTTCCTTCAACACAGCTGGCTCTGAAAACAAATCACTACGAAGGTTCTGCAAGTTATCCATTGTTTCTGCATCTCAAATGATGTACTTCAGCTTCACTAACTGTAAAAGAACTATACTATGGATTACATCCTACTTCTGAAGCCCAGCTTGGGTAATTTAGAAAAGCACTTGCAAAATCCAGCTTGTGGATTTCCACACCACGGGTCATGTTACTTCATTTTATGGTTTGCAAATACATATATAAGAATATAAGCAGAATATAATTTTCACTGTGATCCCAATGACTTGACCATGAAGACACTTTTATTGCTTATGAACTTTTGGTCATGATTTGAAGCTTCTGAACATAAGAAGTATGTGATGGAAGAATTCCCCAAAGAACGGTCATTTGCAAAACCTGGTTTAAAAGTTAAAAACAAAGAATAATTATTTTTCTTCCAGTGTAGAGAAAATATTTGCTAAAATGGCAAGTAAGCAACATATCTGAGACATGTTCAGCTGGAGGAAGAATGTGTCTAAATGGAATTACTCAGTAGCCTCAGATGTAATTAATCTGGACACAAAGTCTTTATCCAAAACCATTCTATGCACTTATTATATTGCATAAAGTAAACAAGCTCTCACTGTTCACTAATTATTAGAAAGAGGGACAAATTTGCTGCAGATATTCTGTAAATGGAAGAGATAACCTCATGAAAGAAACGTGTGAAATACTGTACATTGCATGTGGCTTTTAATTACTTTTATATTTGGAGAAAGAAACATCTTGCCTCCATACACGTGTAATTATTCTGTAGTGAATGTGCTCGCAGATAAATTCCTTTAGAGCTGCTCATTAACATATCAAACATTTCTGGTAGAACCAAGACTGTACTTTTATTTTCTTGAGTAATTTACAGGTAACAGCCAATGTCACCAATCTTAGCTTCCTGCCAGCAGCTTAATTCTGGCATAAAGCCAGTTCTTAGGTTTTTATCTCCAAACTGATACCTCTTCAAGTGATGAAGCACTAGAACAGCTCAATTACCATGTTTTTTCTCTGAGGCTTAGTGCAGGAGGTGGCTACAGGAATAAGGGGAGGGAGGAGCTGAACTTCAGATGAGCTGAGGCTGTGGAAGGAACCCCTGGAGGCAGGTGTGGGGCTGTGAGGAGACACCTGAAGGTTTTCATGCAGATGTCTTTAACATCTGAGAGATCCTAGGCTGGAGAACACAGGGTACATCACCTGGAGCTCCAGACACATTTGAAAGATGTAGTCCACTTTCAGAGACCACTTTAAGACAAAATTTTCTACTCAAACTTCCAGAACCTTTAAAAACCCAGTCTGATACGTCAGCTCATTTCTGATTATTTTCTAATTATTTTTTGTTATTTAAACATTCCTTCCACTTTCTGGCTAATTGGAGAGAGGCCTTAGACTTTCATGTTTTGTCCAATTAATTGTGCAATTAAAGCTTTAATGCCTTACCTTTGAAACTAGGTAAAATTTTAGAAATATTAAATGTTTAATTTCACTTACCTGTTTGTAATATACCAGCAAGCTGCCAACAACCCTGAAAGCCATGTTCCACTAAGAAGCCAGCTTGTTACATACAGAGCAATGACATAAACTGCCTGAAGTCCAAACAAAGTGTAGATATAAAAATAAACAGGCTCTAGGTATTGCTGTAAAACACAAGAATACTGATGTTGACATTAAAACACTCACAGGGGGGATTATACTTAGTATGAATTAGGTTTTGCTTTTACAAATTAAAAAGGTATCAGGAATATTTCTAATTAGAAAATATCTACAAAGGGGAGCTATGATTCACTGCGCAATCTTCATAATGCACTTACAATCTAAAGCCATAAATAAATGCCTACCTGAATTGGAAGAATCCTATACAGAATGCTGAGAAACACCTCCTGGTAAACATTCATTCTTTCAAGTATGTTAATTGTCCTCACAGATTCAGTTTTATTGTCATATACTAAACCATGTAAACCTTAATGATAAAGAGAAATTGAAATAGGAGATTGTCATTTTCCCCCTCCATCTTCATTTGAACAGTGAATAACTTTTTCAAAGGTATTTTAGGATCTCTCATCAGAAACTGCAAACTCTGAGTCAATGATTCAGAACATATTACCTCTGAATCAACATGACCTTCTGAGGTCTTCAGCTTCCCCACTTCAAATGTGACTCACAGTGCTAATTCAAGTACTGTATATTTAGTAGTGTATAAAACATTTATTTTTATACTTCCATCCCCAGCATAGAATCTGTGGTACATTCTGGATCCTGAGAACTGTTCTTGGCACTACTTTAATCACAGGTGAAGTTATTATTGAAAAAATGTGTAATATAAGCAAAATTGCTAAGGAGCAACAGCTAAATATCTAGAAAACATGAGACTGTCTGAGAAAGCCCCATCACTGTATATGATTTGCTTGGAAGCTGCTCGTTGTGTCACTTACTGTCCAAGAATTCAGCAAAAAACACTGCCCCTTCCCAGCAATAGCTCATACCTCAAATTAAACAAGAGAAGAATAAAAATGAAAGTAATAAACTGAATAAACCAGCAGCTGAAACCTGAACAGATATAAAAGTTGTCCCTCAAAGTGATTGCCCTCATTAGCATGTGAAGGTGTGGCACAGAAATCAATGCATCATTGTGAAATTTATTATGTCCATAACTTAGTGGCTCCCTGGCATAGGAACAGAATAAATCTGTCTCCAGTGCAACTGTTACACTATCTTTCATAGTTATGGTATACTTTGTTGTCAATTATATTTGGAAAAAGAAAACCCAACCAAACCCACAAACAGTCAGCTGCAAAACTTACTTTACAGTTTACAATACCTTGCTGAATGGAAGCAGCCTGAATCATCTGTTTGTAGTAGGAATAATAAAGTCCACACTCGGTTCTGAATGAAATTTCTCTTTCAACCTCCTGCAAGTGAAGTTTAACAGTGAATTCACTTTCCATTTGCTCTTCACCATCATCCAAAGCTGCCTTTAGTGCCAATTCCTGCAGCACCAGAGAAACTGACCTGCACAGGGGCTTCAGTCCTCGGGTTTCATATTCTAAGCAACTTAGTTCAACCAAAGGGAAACGTACATGGACAACTGAGGGTGAGAGGCAAACGGCTGGGGTGTAAATGACTCTTTTAACTGCGGAAATGCACAAGCTTTTTGTGATTCTGATTTGCTGCTTGGAGACATTTTGGGCATTTCGCTATTTTTTTGCAATATGCCAAGCTTAGACTGGCACAGTGGCCCACAGCTGGACTGCAAAGCTACATATGCCTGCTTTGTGCATTTAACCTTTTCTCCCAGATGTAGTTATCCCATTGTGTTCCATGGCTTTGCCAGCTCAAGGCTCCATTAATTCAGAGTGCTGTGAGGGAGCTGCACCATGATGTCAGGGATATTTCAGCTGGCAGGGGATGCTGCTGCCCACTTGTTCAACACTGCTTCTTGCAGGAAGCCAGCTGGCATCACTCTCATTCTTGAACTACAGGTGAAAGGAAAAGGGCCTCTTTACTGGGCTTTAGGGCTGGTGAACTTCTTATTTCTAATTAAAAATGTTCAAATTATTTAAACTAGGTTCACTTCAAACCAGGTACATTTCAAACAATGCCTTTTTCTTGGCTAATATTGCAGCAGATGGGGTCTAGTAAGATCTGAAAGTTTTTTGCTTTGGAATGCATTTCCTTTTGTTACCTCATTAGTTGTGAAGACCTAATGAAATTTAACAAATCCACAGCTTTGGGCAACCACATTAAAACAAAGATGGCATGAACAACCAATCTGATGAGAACTAGCAATTGTCTTAAACAGAATTGTTCTGTTTTTAGTGATCTTTTCAGTAGTTTGTATAATAACATCCCAGCAAATGTATCTCCTAAGTAGTAACTTAGAAAAGGTCTCTATCCAGTTAGAAAAAGTTTATACTGAGATTTGAAAATCCAGTGAAATCCCTATATGTGGTATATGCAAGTCATTAAAAAAATTGTGTGATTTATAAAAATAACCTTATGAATTCATCTTTCTGTACAAAAGAATGTTACTGAAATAACAGAATATTACTTTTTCAGAGACTTTTATGAATGCCAATCTTGTTAATGCAACCTTGCACAGAAGCTCAAGACTTTCAACTTTCTCATACAGTCCCAACTCTTATGCTGGAGCAGAATCAATTCCATTTTCGAGCTAACATAAAGCTTGACAAAAAAATCGTGTTCTTCTCTGCTGCCCAGTACAGGTTCTTATCTCAAAGGATGTGTTTTATTGAAGTCAATTGTTGACAAGCCAGTATTAGTTCTGGTCTGAGAAAAGTCAATAGATAAAACCACAAGTGATTCAATCTACGTTCACAATTAAACTCTCACAGCTGCCCTCTGACACAGAAATCATCATCATACCAAAAGCCACACACTTAGCAAAATTAGAGGGCTGGATTTTAAACAAACTCTAGTTTCAAATTCATTACTACTGAAAAGTTTTCTAATACCAAAAAGTAGCTGACTCTTAAAGGCTCATAGGAAAAAAAAAAGGGAATGCTAACATTTGGAATTTATTAAGGGGGAGAGAGGAGTCACAGAGGGGGATCTAATTAGCAAAAATGCATTCAAACATGATTAATTTGTAATCCTGGCACCAGCTGTATTCAACCAAATGCTATACTTTATGAGACAAACACTAGTGAGTTTTACATCTGTTTCATGCTAAGATAACATCTGTTTTATTCACTGAAAATACTTTTCCAGTTCTACAGCAATTTATACTTTTCCTAGCATTCCATGTCAACAAAAACATACAGACTTATGGGTAAATATTGTGAGAGCACATGCTTATCTGTCTGTATATGCACTTTGTGAGGCTGTAACAAAGAAGTTACCAGTGTTCCAAGGGAAAAATAAAGAACACATTCCTCTGGGACACAGAGAGCTGCTTATTGTTTCAATTTATGCAATTGTATCCTAATAATATTAAGTATTCACAACCTAATACAAAGGACTTTCTCTCAAGGGCAGTGTAAAATTTTAGAGCATATGATTCCTCAAACTCTTTAAGTAAGTCCTTCAGAAAGCTGAGCAAGCAGCCAAAGTCTGAGTTTTTCTATAAATAATGAGTATAAATAAAGCTCCAAAAAATGAGCAAAAAAAAAACCCCAATTTTTTTTTTTTTTTTTTTTTTTTTTTTTTTTTTTGAGATAGCTAAAACAAAATTTGTGTAACTGAAACTATTTGTTATTTTTCAATTTAAGACCAGGATGATCTGAAAATTTTCTCAACACACAGCAGCTCTCAACGTTCCCAGCTGAGAACAAGCCTTCAGCAAACGTATTTAATCTTTGGGCAGCTCTCCTGGCTGGTAACCTCAAGCCCATCTCCTTGGGTGGTGTGTTCCAGATCAGATGTGATCCAGAGCAACAGTACCCCTAGCTCCTCGGCAGGCACATCTGTGCACAAGTACTGCCCAAGTCCTGCATGCCCTCCTTCCCTTCACGCCTGAGCATTCACTTTGTGCAGTTCTCATCACCTGTTTTTCTTCATAGTCATTGTGTATGGGGCTGGAAGGGACCTGAAAGCCCATCCAGTGCCACCCCCTGCACTGTCCCAGGCTGCTCCAAGCCCCAAAGTCCAACATGGCCTTGGAAATTTCCAGGGATCCAGGGGCAGCCACAGATTCTCTGGGTTTGCATTCAAAATGTAGAAAGGGAAAATATGAGCGCTTCACAGACTAAATCCTGGCATTCCTATCCTGAAAGACTTACAATCTTATATTTTCATGCCTGACTTCCTGCAAGCAGCAATTTTATTAAAGGAAAAATCAGTATCAGTACCTAAATGCTTACTCAGAAGGGATGAAGAAGAAATGAATGCTCTGAAGTTTATCTGTTTTTCTTACAGTATTAATTTGCTACATGGCCTTGGCTTATTCCTGTTCAAAGTGTCTTTAGAATTTGCAGTTGAACAAGCAATGGCTTACAGGAGAGGTGGCCCCCCATTTTGTGATTTGCATAGCAGATTCTGTTCCCAAAAGATGCTACACTGGAGGGGCAGTCACTAAACTGCTACTGAAAATCACTGAAAATAGACAAGCCATTTCAGATGTGTTATGCCAGAACATTTACAGAAAACTGAGAAAGGATTTTTGGATAAGAAATCTGTTTTGACTTCCACCATCACAAACAGAAATGTTTGTTGGTTTAATGTATATGAGAAGGGATTCAAAATTTTTTCTTAAAAATTAGTTGATCAAGATAAGTGATTATAACCTGTGATCCCTGCTGGAAGGGGACCCACACACAGCTCCTGACTAGGTGTCATGATATGCTGAATCTTTTCTCTTTCGGGATTTTTTTTTTGGTCATTCTTTCAGGAAAGCTTGAAATAAAAAAATAAAAGGAACAGTTGTGTACTTCCTTCATAGCATAAACCACTCTTCAAGATGTCCTTTTTCAGTTTTCCTGGTGAGAAAACAATTGTACATCTTTCTCCTGTGACCACGGCTAATGGACAATAGCAGGCACATTTACCAGCAACAAGAACAAGCCTCGCACACAGAGCAGCAGCTGAAAGCAATGCACTGTTGAAAGCCATATTCAAAATACAGCAGAACAGTTTAACAACAACCAGACAGTTTTTCTACTTGGGTGAACCATTGCTGGAAGACACCCAAATCTGAACTGGCTTTCGATGAATTGCAATTGAAATTACAGAAAGGCAATCACTGCAAGTGTGTGTGCAAGTCCTGACTCCAATTATTTAGGAGTTAGGAGTCATGACTTTGCATAATAAACTCTTTTTACTTCCCATTTTTAGGGTTGAGTTCAACTGCATACTTTTTAAATATGCAGTCGTGGTGTTCATGTATCAGTGGGGTCTTCAGAACCAAAATTCCACCTTTTACACCTAAAAGGTGCAGGTACAAACATCTGCCTGGTGCAGAAGTGTCAGAAAAACACTGCAGACCTTCTTCAAATAGAAGAGTACCTCCATATAAAAGAAAATATGACAAAACAGGTCTCCCATTACATCTCTGTATTAATTAAATTGCTACACAGACCCTTCTGGACATGAATTCTTATAATCTGACTAACTGTAGCTTATTGGATGAAAGGAACAAAATTCAGGGGAATAATAATTGTTATATAATTTTTGGATCATTTCAACAACATAGATCTTCAAATATGCCCCATTTACAGCCAATTCAGGGTGACTGAAATTAGTAGTTTAAAATACATGGAAATAGAACTGATTTAGAGTTTTTCTTTTCTATGTTGCAGAGCAGTGATGATGCTCTACTGTATTTCACAGGCATGGGGATTAATAAAACACAGGATGTGCATTTGTAATGCATCCATTTATTCTATGCTATGTTTAATGAAAATATAATAAAATGAGATGACCTCTGCATTTCACTAATCAAGGCATGCAGTAATTGTGGGGCAAGGATTACACTACAGTTCTCCCTTTTGAGAATCTGGGCAGGGGTATGAACTAAAACAAAACTTACAGTTTTCAAACTTTTGGAAAGTTCAGTCAATATCTGCAAAAATAGATGCTTTGGCCAAACTATAAAATGCTAGAGAAGAAAGCACCTTTTCCATTATTTTCCATGTGATTTTGGAGGGTGTTCTTTCTATCTTTCTTACTATATAGTATGTGCTGTAATGAAAAGATTAGCCAGTTGAGCAGTGCTGGAAAACATGCACATAGCTCTGGAGAGACCACACTCCTACACACAGGCACAGAGACAGCTGTGGATTGTTTTACAGATATTGGGATGAGCCCTCCTGCCTCAGCTTTGCAGGAAATTTCAGATTCTTCATATGCACTTTTCTCTTCCCCTGCTACTCCTACAGCAGTATTTTGTTTGAAGTCAGCACTGTGTAATCTCCACATGCACGCTCTGGTGGAGATCACATCCCTCTAAGAAGGGACACTGGGAGACCAGAGACTGTCTGCAGCTCTTTCTCCTTCACCCTGCTGCTAGATAAACTCAATGCTTCTTAAGATCTTTCCACAAAATTGGCTGAAATTGCTCTTGTTGCAGTGTTACCAGCTATCCATCACCTCCATGGCATGAAATAACAGCTACAAAGACAACAGAATCCAGACTACAAAAAACTAGAGGGGTTTATTTCAATTTTGATACCTAGTGACATCCTAGTGTACTTAAAATGAAAACAGTAATTATCAAATAAAATAACTGTTTCACCCACTGAGGGGACAACTTCATGATAATTAGAGCTGCTTATTTCAGTCAACTCTGCGCTCCTCTGGGTCAGTCTGACAGAATTAAAAGAGATGTATCCATCATGTTCATACATTGCCACAAGCCCATGCCTGCTTGTACTTGGAAATATTCAACACCTTGAAATTAGTCACTATTTGCTTTTGGAAGGAAAATGCAGACCCAAGGTGTACCTTCAATATATTGAGTACAGCCTCTCTATATAATCAAGGGAAGATAAGGGTGGGCACAACACGGTGTTATAGGTATAACACAACAGCAACTGCTGAAGCAAATGCAAATGCTTTGTATTAGGGGAATATAAATGTTTCTGGGCCACAAAAAGTGTGTAGCATAGAAGAGACATATTGCAAGGCAAGTATTCCAGTTAAATAAATGTACTCTTTGAACAACACAATACACAGACCTAGCAGAATGGATCTTAGGCATTTGAAAGGGAAATGACTCACCTGTTCTTTTCTCTGGTTAAATTTAGCTGTGGGTATAGCTGCATTATTTTCTCTGCAGTGATTCTATGAAAAAACTAGTCAGTCCTGGGTCTTGGGAATGGCTGGGTTGACATTAGTGAATGGCAGAAATATGTTCTGATGTTTGCACATTTAGGATGACATCACATAAAATTAGTTTTGAATAGCAAGAGACTTTCCCTAAACTGTATAACAAAATTATATTACAACAGTGTAAATACAATTCAAGAACTGTGTGCCAGGATTGTGCATACATTTTCTTTTAACTGTTGGTTTTTATTTTAATTTTAGATTGCTTTGCATAAAAGTAAGATGATTATAGAAAAACATACTGAAAATATGAAAATATACTGAAGTAAATGTTGAAATTCTACTGTAGATAAAGATCAATTTTTGGAAGAACCATAGCTACAACTCAGACAGGAGCTCTCTAGCAATATTTTTAGAGAAAAAATTGGGGACAGGTATTTATAGAACTGATGAAGCATGGTGGGAAGCACAGCTTTTTTTTTTAAATTGAATTTTTAAAAATGAAATATTCTGGTCTTGAGCGGGTTGCAAGACAAATACCCCCCCCCAAAAAAAAAGAAATTTCAACTAATGTTCATGTTAATGCTCCACAAAACTACTGATGAAACTAGGAAAATGATTGTTACCTTGATATTGGAAAACCACAGGTCATTTTCATGCAGTGTAGCCACATAAACAGAAGTAAGAAGTCCAAGACAGATGGCAACAATTCCACCAAGAGTTATTGAGAGTATGCTCCACAGCTTTCCACCTGGATGATCTTGGAAGAAAAATATTTCAGTCTGTAACTGTGAAACATATTACTGACTCTATGGGGATTTTGGAAAGCCATTTTTCCACTGCCTATGCTAGTACAGTTCACATTCTGCAGGTAACAGGACGTCTGGTTTTAACACATCTTGTGTTTTTATTTTCTCATATAAAAAATCAGAGTATTTTATTTACATACAAAGTTAAGTAAAGTGTGCCTTAACTGGCATACTTTAAATTTAAGAACACAATGATCCTATACAAGTTTAGCTCAACACCATAACTAATTTGTAAGTCTGAACTGAAATATCTTCCAGAACTTTTTAAATTCAAGCAATACAGCATGACTGATGACAAAGCAAGAAATTCACAAGAAAGGTCTAAAAATAGCTGCCTTTTTGGGGGGAATTTGCTCAGTTTTTGTAAAAACAACAGCAAAGGTTCAGAAGCCTCACTAAATACCCACAAAGAGACGGAACAGCAGCCAAAGCAGCCTTTGGTGATGGTGTCATGCTCTGAATTGCAGATGGGCTCCTGCTGACACAGGAGCAGGGGCAGGGATGGCGTGATGGCAGAGAAAGGATGGCTTCTGGCCTCCAGGCCTTCACTGTGCACTCACGTTCCTGGGGGCTTTGTATTTTCAATGGTGATGTAAGGTTTAATATGGATTTGTGATCTGGAATTGTATCTTTGAAATGGCTGTTTCATACTGTGTGTGACATCTGCTTAAGGGTTCCAAGCATGCAATTCCATGCAACTTGAGGGGTGGGCTGCAGAGAACTATGACCACTTGTTCTTTCTGTATATAGCCTAAGTGTGTTTGTGCAGAATTTCCTTTCATCTGCCCAAATGCAGAGAAACATTTAGAATTTAGATCAAAATATCCCCTAAGATAAGTTAATCTAAAGATCCCCCCAAAAAACAAGGAACTCTGTCAGCTCCAAAGCTATAATTCCATACAAAAATGTTGTCAGAATTTCATTACTTAAACAGATCCTGGAATTAAGACACTTAATGACTCTCTTTTAAATTTACCTAACCAGTTAAATTCAGATTTTTAAGTACATCTCATCAGTTGTTTTCAAATCCTTTTATGTTACCAATTATTTGGACAGGGATTCTTTGAAGAACTTTGGATGGCTACATACCAGCTGATAGTGTGTCGCCAATAATAAACTGAAAAAATTGTTCTCACCAATTTAAATTAGGATTTTAAAACGGAGATAAGATTGACATGGAGACCCTCTGTCTCATCCAATTAATCTTGGTGATATTCAAGTATGGAAATGCATTTGGCACATGCCTAGCTCTGAGCTGTGCTTAGGACAGATCAAATCCAAAACACTGCTAAAAAGCCAGAATGTCACTTTGTTTTTCATTACCCACCAGGCAGAATTTTCCCATCAGGCTTCACGTTTGTCTCCTCTGAAGGCTGATCTTCAGCTGCTTCTGTGCCTTTTCCAACCCTTCTCTGTCTTACGGTTGTCATGGTGTCAGTCACTTCAATTCATTATTCTTCAGCCTGACTCCTAAACGGACACACACAAGCAATGCATCTTCCCACCAAAGCAGTCACTTGATACTGTTTGAAATATGTGAGAATAAAACCACATCTTACTGCCTTTAACTTCTAGAACTCTACTGTACATAAAGGCTATCTTATCTAAATGCAAGGTTTTTCTTTAAGTCTGTACCACTCAGCAAATTAAAGTACATTAAAGAAAATATTATCTTAGAATTATAAACACTAATGTTCACCATTTTACATACTCTTGAACAGGTTTTCAGAATGATTTGTTATTTTGACTGCCCTCAGTTTTTTAGCCCTTGACTCAAAACACACACCAGGCTCCCCTTTTTTAAAACGTCTAAGCCCTTCAAAGAAAAAATAGTCTTTTCAGCCTATTTTAATTGGGTGCCTAAAATATGAGGGCAGTCATTTAAATCCTGACTTTCAGGAAACACCCAAAAAAGGGGGTCAAAAGATGCAAAAACGATGCCAGAGGACACTTGTGTTATAAAAAACTAGAAACAGCGTTAAAAGAGCACTCGCTGTTTTCCACGCTGTAGAACCTGAGAACACCTCAAGGCCAGCGGCTCGGCCGGTCCGGGCGCTGTCCGTGGCCAGGCTCGGAGCGCGGGGCAGGCACAGCGCGGCTGTCACCCGGCGTCTTTCTTCAATCCCTCCTCTCCCTCCTCTCCCTCCCTCCGTCCGTGCCCGGCGGCACCGCCCGCTCCATCCCGGAGCAACAGCTGCTCCCCGGCTGCAGGGAACGAACGCCTCGACCACACAACTTTGTTTAAAGCTTTCGCAGCGGATCAGCTTCGCCTCCTCCTCGCACACCTGGGAAACACGCGGGGAACGAGGCGAGCTCACGCTCCGCAAGAGCGGCTTTGTAGCACACCTGACAATTAATTAACAAAGGCAAGATGCTCATCCCCACCCCGCCGGCGGTGCCAGCGCTCCCCGCACGCCGGTGCCGCAGGGCTGGGCTCCGCCGGGGCGG